TTTTGCTCTATCATAGAAGTGGTATGTAAATTGCTATAATTGTGCGGCAAAATGAAGCGAATTTTTAACTAATGTTCTAATAGATAAATTTGAAGCAATAGCTGGTGTTTTTTATGTAAGCAAGCTCAATAGTTCTGCGCATTAGCAAAGACTATACACGATCAGCACGTTGTACTGGTCTCTTGTCTTTCTCTGCCTCTTTCATTGAGAGAATTTTCGTTTTCTCTGCACCGGTTACAAGAAATACATTATACACTTATTTTTACCTCTAAAAAAACAGTTTAAGCACGCTGTGAACGAACTTCAAGAAGTCAGCTTCACCCTCCCACACAAGTTAATCCGTATCTCGTGTCTTAAGCCAGCTTTTCATTTAACCTTGTCAGGTGCCGGTTTGCGAATTGAACTTTCGCAGCAGCTGAAGTAGGTTTTATTCTTGTAGGCGGTAACTTTTATGAAATTAATTTCGTGGGAACAGTTTGTAGCAAGTTGCGGGATAAAAGACACGCTACCATTCTTAAAGGTTATGTGTTTTTACTAGAAGATTTTTATCTTCTAGTGGAAATCAAATGAACGATTTCCACACTAATAAATTGAGGGTATTGTTAACAAACGAGTCTCTGTAACAACAAGTGTAAGGTTTAAGTATCACTGTTTTACGGTACATAGACTTGTCGCAAAATTCAACCTCAAGTGCAAAACCGATAACTTCTTACCTTAGAGTATTAAAACGCAAGAAAGCCTAAGCCTTTCCGGATTAACATGAACGTCCTACTCCCACGCTAAATACACGTTTTCAAAGCCGCGGCTTCTTTAGCCTACTTAAGGTTGACCGACTGAATTTATTTCGACGAGATTCTTGGCACATTTTTGCTGAAGGTATCAAACAGGGTATCAAAACAGGATAGTTACACACTCAAGTTCTGAGGATATTTGCCGCTAAGGTTTGTCAAAGAGTAGACTGCTGCCTGGCTTTTTCTTTGCTGATGACTTATTTTGATTGATTATTGTTAAAAATCCAGAAAAACTCTGTTTGAATAGGGGCAGAGATAAAACCTAGAGGAACTGTCCAAAAAAGGATGATATCTCCTCTGTTCCTAACAAACCATGTAAAGTGAACTAGCTTAAACTATCGACGGAAGATTAGCTTAGAGTTTGTAAAGTAATTTCACGCATCGAGAAAAGCGGCTTTTACTCGACAGTATTAAAGCTTTTAAAAACAATACAATACAAAACCTTTACTTAAAGACGATCAATTTTGGAGCGACAATGCTTGGCTCATAGCTAATTGTTTATGTTTACAGTTGTTTTTGGTTGGTTAATGAAGCAAAATTGATACAGTTGCATTAAATTTTATTCGATAAAAAAACGATTTAAGAGTTATTTAATATATCTTCTGCTGAATAACATGTTATAACATAACTGAACAGAGGCCGAGTACCAAGGACTATGAAACTACTTCATGTACAAATGGGTACGATGAAATATCCAATGTCATCACCCTTGTTCTGTTATTTCCTTTATTATCGCCTAAACTTATTTTCGTTTTATTCTTGCGAGCAAATTAGAGATTCACTTCTTATCTCTGTCGGATCGTGAAAGTTAACCAGAAGATTTTAATCGATGTTAAAATCAATTTAACGCCTTAGATATGACGTCAATGGCTCTTTTCTCTCGTGCCACACCTTAGAAAGACATCTTCAACAGGAAACCAGTTAAGTCAAATGATTGCGAGCGGCTGTTCTCCTGTTTAACTTAAATTCTGTGGGGACCAAAAAGTCCGAAAAATAACTTACTGATTTGATTTGAGACATTGTATCATTTTAAAACCGCTAAACCTCTAGCATGACCTTTCATCATTGAATCGAAGATGACATCTTGTTATCGCGATCAATTAATTAAGGCTTTGTTAAGCTGTTATGTGTTTTGGTTGGATTTGCAAATAATGCCCGTTAAGGAATTAGTTAATCGTGCTTTTTTGATGACAAAGATGTTTGCTGTAAATAAAATTCGACACAGTTTTTTAGCCTGAGATTTGTTCTAAGCACTTGAAGATTCTGAAGAAAAGGTGAGATTTCACTCAGCAGGCGCTGCTGAAACTTGATGTGGCCATAGGTGTTAAAATGCGGCGCGTGGCAAGACAAGAGAGGTGATAATGAGATCTAAAACTATTTTTGTCAAGTTTGTCAGCGATATGCTTTAATAAACCAAAATAGTTTATGCGATCGGTTTTTAATATTTTATCGACTGAAAGACCTTTTAAAACCAAGTCCCTTGCTGAAAATAAGCTTTCGAACTCTCCATTCTTTTACCTTAACTTAAGACAACAATTTGTTGCACATTTTTGTTTCGCGTTATGTCATAGTTACGCTATATTATTTTAGCTCCTTTAGTTAATGTTCGCAAGAAAATCAGTATAGGACAAACTAATAACGTTGAGAGAAATCTTAATTATAAACGTATGTCCAAGATTTTAAAGCTCCCGAATCGTAAATAGAATATCTTTCCTTCAGAATTTTTATCCCTTGTAAAGACAACCGCGAAGAGGAAAAACGGTGTGTCAAAATCTCGAACTCGGCACCTGTTGAATTCTAGTGACCGAGTATCATCTGAATTCAGCAATTTGGATTCTGGGCATGGAATCAGTTCGTTGCAGGGCATAGAAGTTCTTTTCTTTATGTGATATTCTATAATTCTATCTTGTTCTTATTCTGTTCGACTTGGAGAGTAAGTGTAATTCTCAATGCCGGCAACTCAGTATTTTCTCTACTCTGGGCTGTGTAATGTGTTGGAATATTTGGGACAATTTGCGGTGGTCTAATTTTGTCGTTATTCTCCCTCTGTTTTAGTTGTTTTGTTTAGAGATGACTTTGCAAACTTAAAATCCACCCTCTCAGCGTGATATATTTCATGGGAAGATAAACATTACTGTCTCAAAACACACTACGCTGAGCGGTTTTGAAAACGTTATAGTATCAGATCGCGTCTTGTCACTTTTCGTATCTTCTTTTAAAATAAAACTGAACAAATGCCTTCACGAATGCTAATCTTAGTGATGAGAAAAGAACAAACTCTGCTCAGAGGTAACAAAATAGACCCATATTTACTGAGTCTGACGACCTTAGGTTCAAAACTGTTCGATTGATCTGTGTCTATAGTCTTATATATGGTGTAAATTCATGTTTTTATTTCATTTTTTCTTCTTATGTCGGTACTGGAACCCTTAGTTTCCTAGGTTTAAATTCACACTGTTCTGCAGATTATCACGAAAGCCTTGAAAATTTGCTTTCGGTTATTTAGGTTTAAAAGCTTTACTCTCCAATTTGGCCTAATTGTCAGTGACTAATTTAGAAATGTTTTGATTATTGATTTCACGATCTTTAATAGCTTTGCTGTCTAGATTTTAACACACAAAAAGATAGCACTTTCTAGTATTTTCTTACTAGTATAAAGATCTCTATCAAGAGCTCCTTCCTCCATAGATTTTGGAAACTGTAATCAGTTTGGCCGTTTTTCAAAACGATTAAATCGTGTCGAAAGTACGGCTTCTCCGATCGTTTTAAGCCGCATAATAAGAAAATTTTCTAAACATTAACTGTAAAACAACTAAGTCAAGCTGGCGGATATTTTTAGATCAAAGAATATAATTTATGCATGAACGACATTATTCTATCGTTCCAGCGAGCTCCTTCTCGTTTTTTAGATGCCCTCTGCCTCAGAAATCCGAAGAGGTTCGGATTTGTGACTCTGATTAGAGATAGAATTCCATGCTTTTGTTTATGTTTTTTTTTAAATTTTTTTTTTCGCTTCTGCTGAGCAAAGATGTGAGATTTTTTTTACCTCTGCTAAGCGAAGATGTGTATTAGGTTCTATGCAAAAACAATCTTGAGCTGTTAAATTTAGAACTAAATTAACTTGGCTCCGAGATGTCTCGGGAGCTTGCAGAGAAACAATGAATAAATAATTAGTCTGACCGATATTTTTCATGCACTGATCTTTAGATTTGAGAGAACTCGTTTGTTATCGGTTATTCCCCGTTGTTCGATTTATCTTAGATAGTTTTGTATGTATGGTTTGGCAATTACAAATGATAACCTCTAACGAATTTTTGTATATTTCTTTTAACATGTGTAAAATGCGAATCATGATAGCAGTTTTGAAACTGGAAAAATAAAAATGTATAAAACTTTGTAAGACGTGTACGGCGTCATAGACACATATATGTGGCCTAGCCGGCCTCAGTCTTCACTATATACATTTTTGAAGGATCATGTCGCCTCAAACTGAGCACATTTAAATTTTTACCATCGTTTAACTGCTCTGTCAGGCAGCATTCATCTCTGTAAACTGGGCGAGAAATATCGCTGAGAGCAATTGCTTGCAAACATTTTCAACATTTGAAGCAGTGTAACAATGATGTACAACAGGTAAAATCTTAATTGCTGCAGAAAGGAAGGGGAGATATTCTCTTAACCATAAGTGAGCCACCGTTATCATCACTAAATAAACGTTGACTGCTTTTGTACTTGACTTTTCTAAGTGAAGATTTTAGTGGAACCGCATAAGCTAAGTTCTAAGCTTAACGGCTGAACTGATCTTCTCCATTCATTTTCTTCAAAACCAGGATCCAGTTTCAAGATTAAAGACTTCAGTAGCTGAAATAGCTCTACACTATAAACATAAAGTTTCTGAAGCAAGCGGCTTCTTTTATCCTTGTCATCCTTTTATCTTGACAAAACCTGAAACTGGCTACGGAAGCAATCACTATACGTGAAGGATTAAATAAGATCGACTGTCCTTTGCTGTGATATCGGTTTTTTTGTTTCACTAAACCTTAGAGCAAGCAATTGGTAGATTCTGTTTGAGATAGATAATGCAAGAATTACACTTAGTTTGCTGCTAACCAAAAGTGTAAGTAAGATGATACATTCCAGCACGGAAAAATTTTACTCTTGAAACCCAAAACAAAAGCTACAAATTTTTAACTCTTTGTATTTCACCTGGCTGCTAAATTTGCTTGATGTCAACAATCCGCACTGACTGGCAGTGAATTCTCACTTTGGTAGAAAGATGTTTCTACAGTATATCTCTTTTGTACAACTAATCTGCTGCTCTTGGATTCAGTAACTCTAAACTATACACTGAAAAATCTAGATCCGTAAATGGCAATTAGAACAATTTGATTTTCGATAAAACATATTTCTTCACTGAGTTAAGACTGACGAATCTCTCTTCAGCTAAGATTCTCGTTTCTAGTTGTTTCTGAAAAGCGTGCGCCTTGACAAGATGCACTCTTCAAATATGGCGATTTTGGTATTTCCTGTAAACAAAATCGTCGCACATAACACCTCAAAGTAATTAAGGCTGAAGCTGTTTACATGTAAACTTGACATGCTGAAAGCCAGAAAGCTGGCCTCGCTAATCGCTCTAATTAATCTCCATAGTTGCTTTCGGTGTAACGATTACTTCAGACCACGCCCTGTTCGAAATGTCGAAGTTGTGAACAAACAATGTTGTCAACCGGAATCGCCTATTTAAATAACACCATGCAATTAAAACCTTCGCTTTTATTACAGAAAACTGCTAAACAGTCTAAGGGAATGCTAAAAATGCGCGATTAAAGTTTACTGCGCTTCCAAAGGATCGTGGAGTCATGATTTTAAGTCCGGAAGTACCGCAATACACATTCGGGAGGTCCTACATGATGTGTGGAACAATTAAGTTCTTGGACGACAGTGACAAATAAGAACAGGTTATTAGTTAATTTCAAGGAAGCCTTAGTACAACGGCAAGCTGATGAAAATAGCAGAAAGTCACCGATGCAAACTTATTTTTTATAACGTATTTTTTTGTCGAGAGATTTACATGAAGAGTACCTTACACCGTCACGATGGTCGAGGTAACTGGGAAAGCGTGCAGTTTGGCTTCTAGACGTCACACTTATCTCGGCACGATAGCAAAATATTTTAATGAAGCAATCTACATTTGAATAGTTCAAGTACCATAAACAAAAAAGTAAAATATAAAAAGATTGCTATCTTTGAAGCTCATGGAGGCAAAGCCATTGAGTACGACCAGTCTCCTCTTGTCGTTTGTATAGAGTTTTGGCGAAAAGAAAACCCGCCTCTTGGCAGTAACGAGCCAATAAAAGCGACAATGGTAAAAAGATTACCGTAGGGACTATCTAATCAAACAATAACGAAGACACACTACTTTACAAAAGAAACTGATTATAGTTATCAGCTTTACAATGTCATGAGATATAGGATCTGAAATGTATCTTATTCCATTTCTAGTTCGTTTCACTTCTTGCTTTATTACTATGTTGGGTTTGCCGATTAGTTGTCTGGTGATCTTTGAAACATCTTGGAGAGTAGAGTATCAATCACACATATGGCAGTCTATACTACAAGCAATCTTGCCGAATATTTTATTGTGCTACAGAAATGTTTTTGTAATTCTGGCGGCCTGCTTAACAGGGAGACCAATTGTAGAAATTCTGAGCGAATTTTACCTAAATTAGACTGATTCCATGAACGATAGCTGAAAATTAGAGCAACGATAAAGCAAAAGAATTGAGGAGGATTAGAGAAGGAAGCGGTAAAATAAAGAGGAATGGAAACGTTTGAACAGCGATAAAGCGGTCACTAAATTGTGGTGAAATAACGCGGAAATTCTAGTTTCAAGATATTCGACGGAATGTCGCAGAGCATAAAAAAGATGCCGAAAAAACGAGCAGACAGTTCTTCCTTGTCATGTCTTCCTTCAAAGTTAATGAAGTTTTTTTAAAAATGAATTGCATTGTTAGTCTTTGTTTGCATCGAGCTCTATGGATACCAATATGAGCTCGAAGAACTGACAGTAAAGTGATTTGAATAAAATCAGGTTTTCAAACCTTACTTTTAGCAAACATTTGACTGACTTGACACTTTGTCTCGCTATTAATTAAGACTTTAGTGATAACGTCCATTCACTAGGATCGCATTTTTAGTGGTGGAAAATTTACTTCAGTTTAGATATTATGCATTCTCTTTTGAGAGCAGATTTTTGCGTGAAACTTTGCTCGTATCACAAAGAAGTTGGATGACACATTGAATTTTCACTACCTTCGAAAACAAATAGAGTCTGGTCAATGTTTAGACAATGCTTCCTCGCTACTGGATGGTGAAAAACAATTCCTACAATTAGAAATGAGTCAAATTATATTAAGAAAGCATTGTTGACAAGAATTTGGAAGTCTACAAGAGAATAATTGCGGCTGTTTTTCTTGATTGGTTGAGGGAATTATTTTGAGTACTATTTTATCCAGTCTGAGTCAAAACGTCAGTTAATCTTTGTGAATTTGAAAGTTTCCGACTCATTAGCAAAGGAAATTCGCGGGTGATAAAATATTTCGAATACCTTTAATCAATTCTTGAGTAAATTTTTCGGACAAAAAGTACAGGTCTGTCGAAGACAGGTGTAACTTTTATAGAAGCTCAGGAAGTCGTTCAATTTTCCACACCCTTACACCAGCACACGACACTCAATATGCCTGTCAACTCCAACGGTAACCAATCAGAAGCGCCTATCGTCATAGCTCCGCCACATTGAAAACAAGAACACGAATTTCGCGCTGACAGTACCATGACGTTGAAGAAGCGAACGGTTCGCTGGAAAAAACGTCGCTCTTGAATTTTTCTTCGAAAACAACACTTAGCCTTGGGGCATATTTTGAACGCTCATACGATTGGTGAAGTTCTGGTGTTATGGAAATTAGAAGTCGCACGACGTTTTCCGGTAGTTTAGCTGTAATCTTATTCTTACTACTTGTCGCAGGGCAATTCAAAGCTACTGTCTCATGCGGCGGCTCCAGAAACGCTTATGATAAAAAAGCACCAAGAACACCTCTTATGAAAAAAGCGTCTATTCCAGATCTTCCTGAGACCAGTCTGCAGGCAAGCGGACCAGCAAAAGGAAAGATAACAAAAAATTCGCCGGAGTTTGACAAACTAAAACCGTGTTACAACGGTGACATTATTTTTAAAGACGAAGAAAGAACTGGCGAAGATCGCATGATGTCGAAGGTAGAACGTCTTTCATTTGTTTATATTATATATTTTACCTTTCATCACTGTCAATGCTCGGCGTGTAGCTTCTTGTGAGGTTTATGTACACTAGATACGTAAGCATGCGCGATGTTCATTCATTCTTGCAATCAGCAAAACGAGGGTGAGAAATGAGCGAATTTTACTATAATTTGTTGATTCCTCATTAGAGATGCAGAGAGAAATTGACCAACCTGTCGGATTTGGTGAAAGCACAATGGCCAAAAGTAAAGCTTGTGGTAACAGAAGCTTGGGATGAGCAAGGCAGTCACTCCAAAAACTCCCTCCATTACGAAGGTAGAGCTGTAGACCTCCGACTGTCCGATAGGGATAAATCTAAACTTGGACTTTTGGGGCGGATGGCGTGGGAAGCGGGCTTTGACTGGGTTTTCTATGAGGATGAGAGACACATCCACGCTTCTGTCCGTGAAGGTAAATATTGTTAATTGAATTCGTCTACTTTGATCCGAGCTTAACTTAATGACTTCATATCATCAACTCTGCGAGGTAATCCCCGGGTTAAGTGAATTTCAAGGGAATTACCTTAAAATTTTAGTTCAGTTTGAAAAAGGCATGCCTTCTTTCTGTTTGCACTCGCATAGATCTATCGTTTGCAAGTGGGTTGATGTTTTGGTTTGTTGGAGTAATAGCTTTTGCACCGCCGTCAAGGTAACACGCAAATCCAATTTTAGGAATACAATAGAAGTATGCTTAGCCATTCCGGTCTCAATAACAAAAATTATTTTCGCTTTGCCCCTTCCTGTGAAAAAACCACCTTTCACCAAAACAAAGTTAGGTCCTCGTGTTTCGTTACAAAACGTTAAGCAGCAATTAATTGGTTTGTTAATGATCGTACGCCCTCACGCCCTTGACTAGGTGTATCAATATCTCTCGTGGAGAAAGAAAATAGAACGATTTAAGCTTATTATTATTATTTTTTTATTTTTCTAGATGGTTACGCAGAAGAAGCGTGGGATGGGTGTTTTAGCGCTGATTCCACTGTGAAACTTGAAAGTGGCGTTGATTTACAACTCCGAGACCTGAAAATTGGTGACAAAATTCAAGTCATGAGTCGAGAGGGAAAAATTGGCTTTAGCGAGGTAATGATATTCGCTGACTACAAGCCAAACGTCACCAAAGTTCCGTACATTTTAATTGAAACCGAAAGGCCATCGAAAAAGCTCTCTCTAACATCATCTCACCTCATATTCACCAGCAACTCCACGGCTACAAAGTTTAAAGCAAAACAGGCTGGCTCGGTCGTGCCTGGCGAAATTGTTCTGGTTTCAAATGGAAGCGAATTAGTTTCCTCACCAGTACGAAGAGTTTCTCTTATCGAACGTACGGGAATGATAGCTCCTGTGACCATCCAAGGCAATTTAATAGTGGATGAAGTGCTGTCTTCATGTTATGCTAAGATAATGGACCATGATGTGGCACATATGGCATTTGCACCACTGAGACTAGCATATACTTATGCATTTAATGCGTGGAGCACGGAGGGATTTATCCAGCAAGGAATGCACTGGTATCCACAAATACTGATCGAAATTAACAGAGCACTAAGTCTCTACAAACTTTCTTGAATATCGAAACCGCTTAGTGAATTGATAAGAAGGGATTATATTCTTTTTAGAGTTTTCGCGAACTGTCTGAACTCTGGACAACTTAAACATAATGAAGTGTTTTTAAGAAGAGAGTAACAGAGGCGAGTTCTCTAAACGAGTAGGTTTCGTGTTTTGGCGCAAGTTTCTTGTGGAACTTTGATTATTCATTTGTCTCCACAACAAAGCAATTTCTTGCCGCGTCCTTTAAGTTCGAGTTTCCTTTTTGGCAACTTAACTTTTATAATCGGAGTTCATTGAATCGAGTAGCTTAGCTAAAGTAATGGTAACCACGTACCAGTGTATTATTATTATTATTGAAATAAATTAACAACTATTTATGCCTTTGATGTACAGTAAAATAGTTTTGTATGGTGTGTATAGTGCATGACGGCTGGTAACCGATGTATGAAAGAGAATGAAAATATTTGTACAAAGTTAACTCTATTATAGCAGGTCCTATGATTTTTTTACAATGAAAACTAATTCATGACTGTAACAGACTAATATCATAACCTTTAACTTATAATTTGGCAGTGGAGAAGTCTGAAAATCTTCTATAAAATATGTTGAAATAATTTAAAAGAAAAAACAAAAGATAAGAAAAAAAAAAGGGCAACAAGCAATGAATATGGAAAAATGAGATGTATTATTCGGTTAACGTAGGTTTAATTTATCTAAGGAAAGATGAATCCAGTAACTCTTTGAACACTATGTGTTAAGATGTAACATTCTTAAACGCCTATTCTGAGCGTCGATGTACCAAATATTTGTTTTGTCCAAGGTAAATTTGTAGTGTCCGACACAGAAATTGTGATTGCCTTTCAACTGGTAGTGTATGAATGACAGAAATTTAATATATCAATATTCTTGTGTACAGAGGACTCTTATTATACTTTGTAGGACAGATTTTTTGGAAACTTGGTTTAGTCATTTGGCCGTGGCTTTATATTATGCGGTTTATTTGGCTTAAAGGTTAGTCATGTCTTCAAACAGGCAGATTTTGGAAGAAGTATTGTCTAAAACTAAAGAATTACAAAAAATGATTATGTTTATGAGAAGTATTAAAATTTGTTGCAATGCAAACATTTGTTGTGTAATTTTTATTGCTTAAAATATAGCTCTTCACCCTTGAGGTCATCCCTTTGACTTCTCCTTAGATTCAAACATTCCGTTCTTCGTTAGGAGAAGAGGAAAGTAAAAACGAAAATTAAGACAAATGGTCTTGTGCTATTAAAGCAACTCAAGAACAAATCGGGCCCCTTTACTATATCCCTATCTTGGGTGCTAGAATTCACCAAGTGAAAATATTCAAGGTATGATGTAAATGTAAGAGAATGAAATGTCGCCATAGACTCGTCTGCAACAGTACGTTTGTACTTCAGTATGTTATCTGTAGATTGAACGTCGAAGGCTGAGACAAACATGCACGCTAAAAGGGTGGTTTTTTCAAAAAAAGTTTCTGGCCATATAGACCCAAAAAAGAACAAACATGAAATTGACCCTCAAGTTTTAAATAAATTGCCAAATGTGCTTTGAAAACACGATCACGCCCATTGATAAATTAATTCACACTCGATTTTCGAGTGTGAACTTTTATTTTAGAATATTTAGAGAAGGAAGTATCTTGCTTGCTGCATGCTCACGCCTGTTACCGCAAAAACTGAATAATCTTACATTTTTGTCCTCATCAACAATTTCCTCGCAAAGATTTCTTCTGGAGGCGTTGAACAATATGGCATGCGAAGAATTCTTTAACCTCGCGTTTAAAGTGTTAAGTGGTTTTTAACATAAACAGATTTTGCGGTCACTTTAAGATCCGCTAGCGATAACAGAAATGTTTCTAAACACCTACTGCCTCAATTTACGGGGCTGTCAAGATATCTGACACGCAAGCAAACGAGGGTGTTGACAACGACGAAAGAGGCTGCTAATTGCGGGAAATTGAGGTGGTTTCAGTAATTTGATTTAGCTCTTTTCTGACATGATGAAATGGGTACTTAAGTTTGTTCTTAAACAGTTTGTTAGAAAACTGAGCCAGTTTGCGTGATCCTGCGGTATATAGGATACGCGAAAGGCAAACGACATTTTTTTTATCAAACACGAACGAACAGACAGACGGTTTCCCAAAAATGTTGATTAAAAATCAATTAACAGATAGCGATACTTAATTGAGGGGGAAGACTTTTTTTTATTAAATTAATTAGGACAAGGATCAGTTGAAAGCTCTGATTTCCTGCGAGCCGTGATGAATTTAATCGATGACTGACTCAAGATGTTAGTTAGTGTGGGTGGATATGAGCTGGACTGGAGTGCAAGTCACTGACGTGTTATAAGGCGCTGAGAGAGCTAGTAAACAAAAGATACCACCTTACTACAGTACTCCCACTCACTCAGTTTGCAATTCAGACGATGTGATCAAATACATTTGCTTGCAGTCACGGAAGAGATTATCTTAGCCAGATTTGATATTGTTTATAAGAAGTTAAATTGATCGGTGACACTGAAATAGCAACGAGTGGAAAAGATATAAACCGCCTAGAATCAGGTTGAACCATTTTCCGTGGTTTACCTACCCTGAGTTACTGATAACATTGATGAGTGAATTCAAAACATACTCGAGTAAACCCGTGGGAAAAACGATATACGGTCGGTGAAATGAAAAACCTGTTTCGTGTTTGCATCAGCCAGAAAAGCCGGAGATCTATGTACTACTAGTCAATGGAGCTCGTCTAGTTCATTGTTTTGCGGGTAAATAAACGTTTTCTAAGAGCATAATGCCAACAGGATTAGAAGTAGTTTTTTTGTAACTGATGTTGCATAATTCAGTGTTCTGAGTAGAAAATTTAAAAGGGCACGATTTTTCAGTTTGAATTAAACTAAAGTTAACAACTGCTTAATAACAAGCATACAAAATAAACTAAAAAAACCCGATTTTCTGCTTAAGTCCCATAAAAGATGCCGCTAAATGGTTAAATAGCAGTAAACAATTTAATCCGAATGATTAAAGCCTACACTATTTAAGCGAATTAAGGTTATTTGAAATGACTCAAATAGCAACCAAAACGTTTTCAGAGCTGTTGGCGCTTGAATCAGTTCCGCAAGATTGAATCACGAGTAAAAGTGGTTGGTTGAAGACTACTTAAACTTATTAAAAGGAGGAAATCGGATTTCTAAATAACTTCTCCCTAAATCTGGAAGAAAAACTTCGACTCTTTGTATTATATACTCACTAAATTTAAGGGCGGTTTTGCAGTGGTTTATTATTATACCTTAAAAAGTCTTAAATGTTACGAGATATTTCCCAAGGAGGAAGCGGTATACTGAGATATCACTAAGATTTGTGACCGAAAAGCGAGTCATATAGGTGTAGTTTAACCCCAGCTGCGAACAAATTGGCCTCTGCAAATTAGCTTTAATTCTAAAGGTTCGTACAACAACTCTTTTTGGTAATCTTTAAATACGCAAAGGAAGTTGAGTTGTCCAAACGCTATTGGCTGTAACTCGTACGTGACAATCAGCCCTTCACGAAAGTTTCGAGTTCTGCTTGAATGAGTCAAGGCCAGAAATAAATCCACAAGTTTCCGAACCATGCAAGTATTGAGACTTTTTTTGGATGCATTTAACTTCCCAAAGTCTCATGTTGTTTAGGAGTGGCTTGCTGCTGATTGCCTACTTTTTCTCACAGCAAGAAATGTCTAAATCGCAGATACTCTTGTTTTTTGGCCATTTTCTTTTTAGCTTAAGAAAAAGCAAAAGCAAACTGCGGTGATAAACATAAGAAAATATATAAACGCATTTCTAAACAGAAATATAACATTTAACTTGACTTTTCGTATGTTCCACTAGCAGAAATTTAAATGTAGAATAAGTAGCTAACAAAGAAACAACAGATGACATATGGTAGGAAAATTTGCATATAAATAAAGCATGCAAACTTAAAAAGGCAAAGTTTTTCACTGCTGTCATTTTTATTAAGGGAAGTTCTAAATCCCCAATCAGCATTCTCCTTTATCTTGCAGTGGGTGTTTAAAAGTTTAATTCTCTGTTCCAATGAAATCCATACGGAACGCGGAAGATTAAGTCATGGCTGAAAACAACGTAGCACAGTAAGTGCCAGCCGAATTCCTCACGTATCGACCTAAAGGTGATGTTACACGAGACGATTCGCAACGACGATTTTTAGCGAAACACAGCGTTGCAACATTGTTGCGACATTGTTTCGAATGGTTACAACATTGTTCCAACATTGCAACACTGTGTTGCGCTAAAAATCATCGTTGCGAATCGTCTCGATGTTAGTCGATACGTGAAGAATTCGGCTAGCACTTACTGTGCTACGTTGTTTTCAGCCATGACTTAATCTTCCGCGTTCCATATGGATTTCATGGGAACAGAGAATTAAACTTTTAAACTGGCCTTGACAGTCTAATATATGCAGCGAATGTGTAACGAAGGGGTGTTTATAGGAGGAGGGCGTGAATAAGCCCAATCACGCATTTTTGTCAGTCAAAAATTAGTCGACTCGAAAACTTAAAACATATTTGCTATACACTCGCATTGCAGTTATAACTGAGCATCGTGAATGATCGTAGAACTGCAGCCCTTCAGGTAAAAGCGTTTTCGGCTGTCACCGTCGCAAGCAAGGCATAAAAACACATGACATTTTGCGGGTGGTTTTAGCCCCAGTCATTTTCAGTAATAGGACAAAACCATGAAAGTGACCCATTTTAGATCAAAATAACTTATTTGACTTCCTATGGTTTCAAGGTTAACAAAACCAAGGTATTCTGCTTTCAACAAAAATGTTCTGCCTTCGTTTGACCAGTTGAAAGTAATTGTATCAACTACGTTATTGAGATCTCAGTACCGGAACAGTATTGGTACCCACGCAATTGTAGAAGAAATTTGTGTCCCACGCACATTTAATTTTTAAAATGATGTTCCCAGTTCTTAACTCGCGTATTTGATAGTGTTTCCATGCCACCTGGCATCCTACAGTGAAAGAAACTACAATTTGAGTTAGTTGCGCGGCACAACAGCACGTGCTTTGGCCTTGAACTATTGTGTCCGGTCAAATAAGCAAAGTGTAAGCAGTTTCTCGTTGAGAAAAACGATTTCCTCTTTGGTTTTGCTGATACCAATTACGCAATACAAGAGATGACCTCCGTTGCGCAATAACACTAAGGCCGTTCTTCCAAGTTTGTAAACTTTTACTGTGGCTATTTACACCGATCTAGAGACTGATATTTATCTCTTTGAACTTGTCTAATCCGTAGACCATAAGTGAGAAAATCCGGTCACATAACAAA